AGTTTAACACTAGGAAAGCCAATAGTTAGGTGAAATGACTTGTTTATTGCCATATAAAGAGGGGGAAGGAACTCTTACAATAGCCGGTTTTAGAACCATTTTAGTTTCAGCTAAGGGAAAAATTTTTGCACACATGGTTCTTTATTACTGTAGTTTTCGGAACGTAAACAGAATCGAATGCACGCCATCAAGTGGATTAAATGATATTAAGCATAAATAAATTATTTCATCATATACCAGATTGAGTTAACTATTGATTGAAGCCATATTGTATTACTTACGGTATCTAAAGTACATTAAAAATTTTACAGCAAAATACCTAATTTCTATTGGATATAAAGTGAATACTTCACCTGAAATAATGGGTAACTTGCCGAAATCTTGAACACAATTGGAAAGGCCATTTTTCAACTGTGTTATAGACCGTACAGGACAACAAATCTGAAATTTAATGAAGGGCGTGTTGAAAGACTACTAACGGTTATGTTGTATTTTTTTGTTTACATGGCAACAAAAACTATTCATCTAGAAAATGTTTCAGATTTAAAAATACATTCCTTTATTGCTGCATTGAAAAAGCTTACTGTGTTGAAATGTACCCCAACTTTTCAGTAATACTGCAACTAATTTTATTGGATCAAAGAGAAAATTGTGCGAAACGGAAATAGCTTTTGGGTAATTAAGTTAAATTTCGTGTTTTTTTATCCTATTTTTTCATTTAGTGACGTAACTTTCCTATTGCCTCTCCACACTTCGATGGTACGTGGGAAAGCGAAATTACATCTGTAAAGTTTTAACTCAGTAGAGTTATAGAAGACACAACACTTATATTTTAAGAGCTGGTTACTTTACTTGCAAAGATTCTAGGTCTCAAATATCCATTATTTCAGATGTATCAAACTTTGATGTACAAACTCCTTCTCATTTCTTCATAGGAAAAGTTATTACAGGTATTTGTGAATACCAGCCTTCAAGATCTTCATTCCAGGTTTAACAAATAATGCAGGAATTTGGGAAGAGATGGCACAATGAATAACTATGTACTTTGCAGTCTAGATGAAAATGGACAGGGGATCAGCCAAATATGCAAGTTGGCGATATCATTCTACTAAAAGGTGACACTTCTCCAGGTACACGGCCATTTTAAGAATAGTAGAGGTATATCCACGACAGGATATATTCATTCATATATCTAAATTAAAACTGCCCAAGCCTTGTTCCAGTGCTCTGCAAGCAAACTGATTCTCTTGCCAGGATGTCAAGAATTCAGTGCTGGAGGGTGGGAGTGATGGTGTAGAGCAGCATAGGATATGCACCTGATAGTTCAGTGCTGCTTAGGAGCACTGCTTTTATTTCTCTCTGCAGCTAATTCCAAGGCACGAGACCTTGTTTGACCACCAAGCTGCTTACTTGGTCTTACAAACAGTTATGCTGATATGACTGTAATGCTATTTGTCACTGCCTTTAACTGTAATTGTGTCCAACTTGGCAATCTTAGACTTCAATTCAAATTGACCGCCGCCAACTAGGCAGGAAAATGTGAGATGGTTCGTCTGCAGGCACCAAGATCGCATTGTTGCCAATTGTCAAGAATTTTGGTTCTGATGTATCACATATATAATTGTTGTTTTTAATAAAACTAAAAACAGACATTATTGCCTTATACAGTCCACAATTAGACACAAACATTTTTTGGTAAGTCGAGCCGCAGCTTGGAATTGGCACGTGAAGATTCTGCGCAGAACTTTCGTTTTGTTAAGAATTCTATGTCTCGTTGGATATGGGTCAACTTTTGCTTTGTTATGAATTTTCTGTCTCGTTGCATATGGATGAACTTTTGCTTTGTTGAGGATTCTTTGCCTCTGGATATCGCTATATAGTTATCAGTTCGTCATTACCCTGAGAAAAATGGATAATTTAGAATCAATTTTCAGTTAAGAACTGTATAATTTAAGCATTCGAATCATAGCATTTGTTTGGTTTATATATTGCTTTAAATTTCGAATTGTCTGAAAAATTGTTTTATTTGACTATTCAGTATGGAAATTGAAAAAAAATAAAGAAAAAAAGAGCATCTTTGCCAACTATTACTACGAAGCTATTAGATAAACTCCAAATTGAAACTGAAAATTCAGATCCAGTGAGGTTATTGAAGAATTACTTGCTCAGTTTGTGGTTAAAGAGCAAGCCTTATATTTAGTAGACAGCGAAATAGAAAAATTATTGCGGTTGATGATTTGGAAGATGAAATTAATAGAATAGTATAAAGAAAGAATAATTCTTTGGGAAACGCGAGTGCATAAGACTTAAGAACTTCTGTAAGACAGCAACCAGTAATCGAAAGTCAGAATTATTGCAGTAGAATTAAATTACCGGATATACCTTTGCCAACATTTTCTGGCCAATATGAGGATTGGAACAATTTTCAAATTCAATTTAATAGCAAAATTTCTAACAATTCTCACTTATCAGAAGTTGAAAAGCTTTATTATTTGAAATTGTCGCTACGAGGTGCAGCAAAACAGATTGAAACAGAAGACGAATTCTTTTAATCATTCTATAAAGCATTAGAAAATCGCTTTGAAAATAAGCACTTAATTTTTGACAGACATATTATAATCATTGAAAAAATAAATCATGAATGGGTGGTCAAGCTCAGAAAGTTTGTGGATAATATTTCTCGAAATATTAGAGCTCTTAAGCATTGGAGCATTGACAGGCATACATTTTTGGATCTCATACTGATAAATTTAATCCTCCCTAAATCAGATAATGAAACTCTTAAATTATTCGAAATGAGTTTGAATACTATCGAGTCTCCTAACTGGACAGACTTTATCGCATTTCTTGAAAAAAAGATGTCAGGTTCTCAAAAACACAAGTAAAATTACCAGTTAAAATTCCAAGTCTTTCACTCAATATCAAGGCAAAGAGATTTTTAGTTAATTCAAAACGAACTTCGACCAATAATTATAAATTATGTAAATTGATGCATCAAATTTATATGTGTGATGAATTTAAAAATTTAGCAGTGTATAAGCGTTTTGAGACTAAAAAAATCATATTTTCTGACAATGCAACAAATTTTGTTGGTGCTAGTAGAGAATTTACTAAATTACATAATCTTGTTAAGAACCCAGATGAATCTTTAGGAAATTACTTGACTTCTGAAGAAGTCAAATAGAATATTTTACCTCCAAGAGCTCCCAATTGTGGAGGACTTTAGGAGGCAGGAGTCAGATCATTTAAGTATCACCTTAAACACGTCATAAGGGAAACAAAACTTACGTATGAGGAATTTCTGACAGTGACTCTTCAAACAGAAGGTATATTCTAGGCCCATCGCTCCATGACCGGCATAATTTTTAGACCTATTACAGCGATCTAGAACTTCTTGAGAACAGTTTAAGCTTCTGGCAAAAAATCACCAAAATTGTCCAGGGTTTTTGGAAAGAATGGAGTAATGACTGCCTAAATCACCTACAACAAAGAAACAAGTGACAGTTTAAAAAAAAATATTAAAATTAATTCTGTAGTTTTGATAAAGGAGGATCATTTGCCCGCTAATAAATGGTCCTTGGTCGTATTGTAGAGATTTTTCCTGGAATGGTTGGCAATATAAGAGTAGTCACTACTCGAACTTCAAATGGTCTATTGAAACGACCAGTAACAAAATTATCTATTTTGATATAAACAGTTGAATTCTTTGTAAATAGAAATAGTGTAATAGCTTGATAATTTTGGCCCACCAGTGGCCGAGCGGTAAAGTCGCTGAACACTGGTAGTTCGGTCCGAGGTTCGAATCCCGCGAACGGGCTGGCTGCATGGGCGTTTTCGTGGTTTTCCCCATGTGTAACGTGTATACGAGCCAGTTTCCCTTAGAAAGTCCTCCACGAAAGGCATCCCTCCCTTTAGGCAGATAGCCCTAGTGTGCTTTGCCGTATTCTCAATACATACACACACACACACTTGATAATTTTGTATTATTTAGTATATTTAGTTGATGGTAATGTTGTCATCAATGTTTACTGCTATATTTTTCAACCAATGCGGAACATCATGTATTTCTAAAATAAGTACTTGTTGTAATAACTGAATTGGTATTTTCTCGTATATTATTTGTTGAATGAAATCATTCAATGGGGGGGGCAGAATGTTACTGCCTTTAACTGTAATTGCGCCAAACTTGGCGATCTTGCACTTCAATTCAAATTGAGCACCACCAATTAGGCGGGAAAATGCGAGTTCGTTCGTCTGCAGGCACCAAGTCGCCATTGGTATCAATTGTCGAGAACTTCGGTTCTAATGTATCACATATATTATTGTTGTGTTTTAATAAAACTAAGAAAAGACATTACTGCCTTATACAGTCCATAATTAGACACAAACACTAGTGTTACAGAAAAGCTCAGTTTGGTTTTACTGTGGGCTACAGGGTGCTGCTGACTACCTTTTATTTCTTTTGTTTTACAGAAATTTGTTCTCTGGATTATTTCATTTTAGATTCATGTTCGACCACTTCTATTTATATTTGAATGATCCTTGTATAAAAAACAAAGTTTCTGCAATTCATATATAACACAGGCCCACCAGTAGTCAAGCGGTAAAGTCGCTGAACACTGGTAGTTCAGTCCAAGGATAAAATTCCACAAATGGATTGGCTGCTTGAGCGTTTCGTGGTTTTCCCGATGTGTAATGTGTGTATAAGCCAGTTTCCCTTAGAATGTCTTCCATGAAGGGATCCTTTCCCTTAGGCATATTAGCCCTTGAAGCTTTGCCATAATCACATAAACCAACCAAACAATATATAAAAGAATATTTATACAAATACAAATAAAGAATAAATTTATAATTTATTTAACTATTTTACAGCTAAAGTCAAGGGGAAAGAATCCTTTCATTCAATGTAAAATAAAAACAATGTTAAGAAAAAATTATTCAATTTAAACATATACATTTCTAGAAATGTTAATGAGAATTTAATACCATGGAGAGAAAACTTTATGTTGTTTGACAGTTTAATGCACTTTTAATACAAATATATTTTCTACAAAAAAATTTAATTTTTTTTTTTAATTTATAAAATCAATCATTGTCTGTACACAGTACTTTCATATAAAAAAGAATACACATCTCTGAAAACGACTTATCAACTTTAGTGACATCGAAAGTGAAACTTACAACCTTATTCCAAGGATATTTTAGTGTTGTTATATAATAGGATATTGTTCACTAATTCATACTCGTTACTCCTGTGGCAATACATATTTTTTTTTTAAATTTTTCATCATAAATGAGTAATTTTGCATAATTATTAATTACGTTTAACTTCATGCTTGAATAGTTTTAGTTTCAGCATACATTAATAACTCATCTCACTTTCCATAATGCAGCTATAATGGCACATTTCAGGTGAATGACACAAAATACCATACTTCTTCCAAATGCGTAACAAAATGCTTTCTTCATCGAAAAAAAACTGGAAACTAAAGATGCATCACTGCAATGCAGCCTTAAAATTAATGTAAAAAACTGCTTTTGTATATGGTTAACTAACAACGAATTCCTGTTCCTATAGCCATGAATGTTCCAAATGTCCCACCTCCTTGAACCATCATTTTCCCTACACTCTGGATGAGTTCACGTCCTCTAATTCCATACCTAAAGAATTTATTAGATTATTAATAATAGCAAGGAAGCAATAATAATTATATTTGTAGAAAAACACAAATTTCTAATGCATTATCTTTACTTGATAGACACTATTATCATCATCATTCAGAGCACAAATGAACAAAGGCACAGATAAATAGAATTACTTCAATCTTTTTTGTAATTCTAAACTTTTGAAAATTTACTTTCATCATCAAATAAATACAATATGAGTTATTCTGACTAAAAACATAAGTAAAAAGTTTTAAAACTTATTTTACAAATGCCGTATGAGCTTATAAAAATGCAAATAACTATTTAGTAAGACAGTAATTAGTTCTCACTGGTTAATGGACAGTATTAAGACCAAATTTCTAGGCCAAGAAACTTATTAAACTAGGAAGAAAAATCCATAACGAAAACGATAGCAAAATACACTCATGTCCAAAATTATGTTTACATGCATAAATTCACGGATTTCTCAGAGACTATGACTTATAATTTAATGAATTTTCGTGGAATCATACATAACATGATGACACATAAATGCAAAAGAAAAAATTGAAGATCACCTCATATAATATAAAATTGTAGCATGAAACATAAAAATGGTAATAAGTGTGACAAAGAGAGTTAAGAAAAAAAAAAGGAATGATTCAGAAACAGAATTAAGTCTTACAATTTAATATGGAATATGATCTCCCCTGACTTGTACACATATCACAACGTGTTTAAGGCTGGAAATAACGTTGTTAACCCAGTTTGGGATTAATCTCCACTCTTCCAGCAATGCCGTCTTCAGAGCATTTACATCTCTAGGAGGAGAATGTATACGTGCAATTGCTCTTCAAGGTAGTCCCATAAGTTCTCTATCGGTTAAGGTCAGGAGAGTTTGGTGGCCAAGGTATTCGCTTAATGTCTTCACTTTCAAGGAATTCATCAACGAGGTTTGCTCGATGTGGACGGGCATTATCATCCATAAATAAAAGTCAGGTCCATATGCACCCCTGAAAAGTCTTACATAGGATCTAAGACCTCATCCCGATATATCTGGCCTGTCACCGATCCGCTGCTGAACACGTGTAGGGGCGACGTCCATCGATCATTATTCCACCCCATACCATCACACCTCACTACCGAAACGGTCACGTTCCACAATGTTCGAGGGATCATTTCGTGTTCCGATTTCCTCCAGATGTAAACACGTTTAGAATCACCAGTAAACTAAACCGCGACTCATCAGTAAAGAGAACATGGGACCATTAATGTTCAGTCCAGTTTTGATGTTCTTTACACCAATTAAAGCGATCCCTCTTGTTCTGTGAAGACAGTAAAACACATACCCTTGGGCTTTCTGGCATAAAGGCCTTTTTCATTAAGCGTTCTGTATATTGTTTGCCGTGATGCAACAGTTTCCAGTGGCGGCTGCAAGCTCTGAGCTTTAACTGGAGCAGTAGCCTTTCTGTTTGACGGGCAGTAATGCCAGATACCGATCTTCAGAAGCAGTTGTCATTTCGTTTCCGACCTTGTCCAGGCATCCTTAGAACACTTCCATCATTTTGAAACTGTTTCCATAGCTTAGAGACTGGTCTGTCTTGAAATATTCAGACATGTGGCTGTTTCCATGATTGACTGCCCTGCTTCTAAACGGCGATAATTCGCCACTTTACAGATTCTTCCAAATGTACTTCAAAGCCTAACAACCGCTTTGAGTCCCTACACACTGAAATCAAACGCTATGTTGCAGAATTCACTCAAATATTCAGTTGCGCAAAGCGCTTGATTCACCTTGGATGACGTAACGCCTAGATTTGCATATCACAAACCGTTTGATTACTTTTGATTGGATAATGCTAATTAGGCTTGGTTTTCACACATTCCCTGCAAATACGGATCACATTGATTCGATATTTCATTGAATATCATCATTTTTGGGTATGTAAAGATAATTTTGGACATGAGTGTAGTTCCTGCAAGAATGTATCAACTGTGCAAAATTAAAAAAGGAGGGGAAAAAGTGTTCATAATTGTTTAATTTCCAATCAGTGTATTCAGTCATGCTTTCTGTTTGAAACTCTTAAAATTTTTTTCATTAATATGGCAATGAATTACAGGTCCTGCTTCTGTTTATTTGCTTATTATATGCTGTAATGTTATATATTCAGAATTTCTAATTTTACAAAAAAATATGACAATAGTTGCAAATTTTATTTCTACGTGCCAGCAGTGGCTATTGCTAATTCAATAAGTACTCAATTACGTTACATGAAAAAATATTTGGCACTTATATACTTTACTAATGACCCTTTCTGATAAAATAAAACTGTCACCACAGAGCACAATTTAATGCCAGTAATGGCATCATAAAATGCACAGTCCATCATACCAATACACTGAAAGATTGCAGAGTAAAACAAAATGTGAAAAAATACCACAAAATCACACGACTGCTTAAATTTAAAAAATTAAGGGAATTTATAGGGAGCTGACTTCACATAAAATATGACTATTTTGTTGTTAATTTTAAATACTATTAGGGGCTTGGGCTATTGAAATAATTATCAAAAGTTTTAATGATTTTTGTCTGTTTTTTCACACTCTATATCCACATCTTGTATCTGTTGGCTAAATACAAAGCAACCTATTTCTTCCAAATTTTTGTACAAGTTGATATTTATTTATTTTTTCATGTGCTATATCCATAACTTGTATTTGTTTAATGTCTAACTAAATAAAAAGCAATCATTAACACGTTCCCTGCCAGACTGTTTTTTGAAGACTTCCCGTTCAGGCTGCGTGGGGCGTATGCGCCCCAAGCTTTACATTTGTATTATTTTGTTTCTGGCGTACGCCTTACAATAATTAAAATAGCACAAATATCATAATTATCAAGGAAAGGTTGTATAGTTTAACATGCATAACACAACAAACCAATAAATTTATTTTTCTAGGAATTAGTTTAACAAATACCTGGCTGAACATTACTATGCCAAGCAAGTTGCATTCTCACATATAATTTTTTTTATCGTACGTATATCAGTTTTAAATATAACATTTTAGTTACATTCAAGTTTGTATGCAATTACAAAGGGATGTTACGATGAACTTTATTAAACCATGGCAAACATAAGTGTGGTTTCATCCACACAACTATTGCAGAATGTCGCAACTTTTACAGTAACAGTTTCTTGCCAATTGGGAAACCCAAATTTTTAACATTTCTTTCGTAACAAATTTTACAGCGCCTTCTTATCAAATCAAACTGGCCTTCCTCGTCGTCAGAATCATCACTAGAAAAACTGTTGCTGTGTGATGCCATATCTGCTTATAAGGAGTAATTATTGTAAAATTTGAAAAAGGTCTGAAGAAGAAAAGGCGGGAAAAATTGCAACCATTTTTAAATGCAAAATATCCTAATTTATAACACTGAAATAATATGTACATACCGTATTTCCTTCATCTAACACACTGAAGAAACACACTGAACTATAAATCAATCCCAGCTTCAGTGAAGCAGTAAGTAGTGTATCAACGACACGTGAATAAATGACTGATCGAAATACGAGGAATGCAGTTGAAACAAGTTAGGGAGAAAACAAATTGCCCATCACGCCATGTGGGGTGTATACGCCCCACGATTAAATGAGGGCATCTGCAGTAGTATTAAGATGCCCATAATTGACTGCATAATGAATTTTTAAAAAATTCTTCATTTTACAATGATAATAACAAATGGCTTGAATGGAAATTTTAGAGTGGGGTGTATACGCCCTATGCGGCAGAGAACGTGTTAACTCAAACTTCTACTAGAATGATAGGCACAAGTTTGGCAGGATCTGCACTATCTTCCATGTTTCTTGGCTAAGTGTCAGATATTTCAACACAAAATGCTCATAACAAAAATTTGACTATGCTTTACTGCAAATTATACTAATTTAGCAAATGAAGGCCATTAATTTTTATTTTAACAGGGTTCATAGCCACATTTTAGTTAAAAAAATAAGCACCTATAAGCACTTTTCAAGCACATTTTAAGAAAAAAAAATAAGCACCTATCTAATTACATTATACACAACTGCATAACTTCAAAAATTAGACTCGTAATTTAAAATATGAGAAATGCAGTATTTATTAAGAGAGAATAAGCATGGGGGGACAAGAGAATAAGCATGGGCAGAGAAAGGGGGAACCTCAACCATGGAAAATAATTACTTTTTTTTAATTTTAAATAATAGTTCAATTTACAGAACTACTTTACAATAAGAGAAAAAAAAACTATGCACAACTAAACTATATTTACAAGATTTAATGATGAAATTTCAGTTCAAAATAGAGGAAATAAATAATAATAAGGCATATTTATTCTATTCGCTTGGAACTTAATAATAAATGCAATTTATTTTTCCACTCATATTGATATTTAACTAATTTAAATCTAAATTCTGAACATTTTCTAAATTTTCATCGTATATCAGTTTTCCCTTAACAGATATTGCAAGCAAAGTAATTTAAGTAAAAAAAAAGAGGAACATTTCTGAAATCAGAAATTTGCTTCATGCAGTCATCCTTTAACAGTAAAAGCTTAACTACCCGCATACTTGAAAATTGGAGAATATTCGGACAGTCGAGCGTAACTTGAAAAAGAGGAGCGGAGGGGGGGGGAATAGATTGTAACCGTTCTTTAGATTTTTCCGTTAAATAAATGCTTTTGACATTTCAATATGTATCATATAAAAACAAACCAACGGAACAGAAAAATATTCTGCTTAGCAAGCACAGTAAAACTCTTTTAAGTGTTCATAAACAAATCTCGGACCGAACATCAAAATTAATTATCTCTGCAAAATATCGCAAACGTTATTGCGCAATATGTACGCCGTAATTCTTCCCTACATGATATTACGCAATCGGATATTGGGAGAATAAAGAACTAAATCAAGGAAAAGAAAGAGACTTGGTGTTTTTCATTCTAATTTTCAACAGACTACGTTAAATTTCCGGAATAGAATCATTCTTCGCTTGGGTTGGTAGACCGCAAAACTTTTAGTCTTATTTAATCCAAATTGGAAAGTGACAGACAAAAAAAAAAAAAAAAAAAAGTCCGTTGCTTGTTTTGCAACGAACTGCAACAGTTTCAATATTCGTGATTTTGCGGAGAAAGGGGAGAACCTCCCAACCTTCGTACTGTATAATGTATTGGCCAAAAAAATGAAATTATTTTGACTATTCGATTACTTTCCCTTTATTTATGTATTCCGAATATTATTAATTAGAAAGCTAAATCTGTGTTAAAACACAACCATTTTGGGAAGTTTACTATACTTCAGCAGTTACTGCAACTATGTTATTATAAACATTCATACATATGCTCATAATATAAGCATAACGATCATAATATCATAATAAAATCGAATATGAACTGACCAAGCGGAACGAGAATGCAAATTATTAAGATCTTGATAGAAATTCAAACGTGTGTAGTATTTGGGTAGGAGGAAAAGAATGCCAAATGTACCGGAATTTTCTAGTGCTTTCGCAATTCTTTGACCAACAGAACGACGGGCACCTGTCTGTACTCTCTGCGCACACCAGAGGTTATGTTAATGCAGAGAAAGGGGGAAAAGCTATTTCCGGGAGTATGATTCACAATCTGACATTCCATATTAGGAAGAAAAGTTGTTTATTTAGTTTTGGCTTTGGTACAGGGAAAAATTGCGCGTTCATTTAAGAAAAAGCACTAAAAGCAAAAAATAAGCACTACAAACAAAAAAATAAGGGCTTTAAAGAAAAAGTAAGCACCTATAAGGGCCTTTATATTTTATTTTCAAATATAAGGACTTATAAGCACTTATAAGGACACTACGAACCCTGTTTAAAAATTTTATTTAAAAAAAGAAAAAAATATTAGTCAGACTGCACATAAAATTTCTGCTATAAAAAAGGGGCTGTCTCTGATAACATAGTAAGTATAAACCACAGCTTTAGCAATGAATTCTGCTGATTGATATTCGAATGGCACCAGGCCAAAGTTGGATGCTGTGGGCCCAAATTACTCCCTCAAAGGAAAAGAGGAGATTCGTTACTCAGCCATGATGATTCCAAACCCCATTCTTCAGACTGGATATTACACAATGAGAGAATTACCTCAAGTTTTGAAATAATACCTACTCAAAATGGACAACATGTACAACAAACCAAAAGACTGAATTTATAAGTCTTTAACCTTTACAAACATTGACTGAAATTAATTAATAAGTACTCTACATTTACAATAATTGACTGAGATGTCCATGTTACAGTTAAGGAATACATCACTTTTGGCTTGTAATATCTACAAGGAAAAAGTGGGAAGATGTTCCATCCATTATTATTCGTTTTAGAATTGGGTTTTATTTTGTAGGCAACCATACTAGTGAGACATATCTTAATATAGAGAAAAAATTTTGCAAGTAACTTGTGATAATAAGAATGTGTACGCCTTCTAAGTTAGTAAAAGTGTTTTATTATAAAATAAAATATTTAGTTTATGACTATAAGAATCTTCTGTGTTAGTTCCCTTGAGAAGTTTACAGTACGTTTATTTATTAAAAGTTTACAAATCCTTTCATAAAACTATGAATAGTCCTGTATTCATTCAAATAAATATTGGCTTGAGGCCAAAGGGATGATAATTAACTGTAAAACATTGCAATTTTCAATGTTAGAGTGGCTTTAAGCTTCAGATGAAGAGGGTGAAAATTAAAATGAGAGTGGAAAGAATGAGACTTTTTTTATAACTATGAAAATTAAAACATTTTGCAATCGCTATGGTTCTTTCAAATCACTGCAAAGGAAGATACAAGGATCAAACAATGAAGTAATAAGATTAAATGCCATACCTTAGAGCAGAAAATCCTCCAAACAAAGCACCAGAAGCTAAGCCCACACAGAAGCCAATTCCAAAGCCTACTTTAATTCGATCAAAACAACTGGGACCTTGAGTGTAAGAGCCAGGAGTTGGTACAGGCATGGTTTCTCTGGAATAATTAACAAAATTATCTAATATGGATTAGACTGGATTGTTTAGTTAGAGTAAAAAAAAATTAACAAAACTGAATTTAATACAGTAAAAGTAATGTTCACATGAAAACAAATGTTCCTTGAAGTAGTCACTTAAGAGTGTTGCATATCGATATTCATTGTTACCGGTTTTAGAATTGTGTTTTTTTTTGGGGGGGGTATTTAAAAATGCCTTAGAATGAAATAAAATATTTAGTTTATGAACTATAAGAATAATCTGTGTTACTTCTCTTAAGGGGTTACAATAAATTAATTGGTGTCCACAATAGAAATTGGAGGACCTAAAAAATAAGTGCGGTACAATTTGAATTTAAATAATAAATATTTATGCTTTTAGTTTCTCAAAAGCTTTGATATTTTATTATGGATGCTTTAAAGTTACAACTTGAAACTTTACATGCAGCATGTACAAATATGGCAAAGGCTACAGCTGAAGAAATTGTGAAAATGAATGTTTCCAGATTTTGCAAACTGATTTTAAAATTACATAGCAAGTTCCAGCACTTAGAAAGTACTCAAACATGCAATTTCTGGATTATCACTAGATGAAAGAATTGAAAAACAAGAAAAGGAGTATGTTAAGGATTTCTGTGAAGCTGAAAATTAGAAAACTGTACTTTTCTTTTAAGTTGAAAATTTTGAAAAAAATTTTGATGATGCATAAATTCAGTTGCCATGTAACCAAACGCATCAGTTTCCAAAATTCGAAATTCTGAGATTTAATGGAGATATTTAATCCCTTTTGGGATTTTGGAGTCAGTTTTCCAGAATTCATGAAGATGAAGATGAAGAGATGCTGGCTGAAAATAAGTTTTAATGTTTGATTCAAACAATTACACCTGGGTCTCGAGCTTCTAGTTTAATAGAGAGTTCCCTCTTACAGCTCATCACAATTACCCCAAGGGAATTGCATTACTGAAAGAAAGACTTGGCAAAGAAGATTTGTTAGTACACGTGGATGTTCATGAATTACAATGGTAATGGAAAATGCCCCAAGCGGTAGGAAATGTACAAGTTTGATTACTTTATACCATCAACTCGAATCAAATTTAAGAGCTATAGGTATGTTAAGAGAATCTAAAGAAAGGTTCGCAGATTTTTTCCTCCTCTTGTCAAATCTTATCTTCCTGAAGAGGTTTTAGAGATCTTTGAAAAGATGCAGAGTGTCCAACATTCCTAATGGTAACAAGATTGATGAAAACAGTCAATAACCCCTAAGAAGCTCATGAAATTTTTAAGGCAGGAAGTTAATGGCGAGGAAATGATAAATTTGGCTCTATCAGCTTTCGGAACACAAGGTCGATTCTTCAAGAAATAATATCCCTTCTGCTTTAGCTCTTATTTCGCCCATGCATGAAAAGGCTAAAAGTATTTTTCATGATCATCTACATTTTAAAGCTTTCATGATGACTCTAGATGTTGCTTAGTTTGTCTTAAGCTAGAACACATTGCAAAAGCATGTAGAAGGTGAATAGCATGAGGACGATGACATTATGATCTGCTTTATCCGAATTAGAAGAAAGGGTCTAATGAATCCACTTTTCAATCAAGTTCTACACAAAGCAAGCAGACTGCATTGTTTACAGGAGAATTCTCTTTATGGGAAATCTATCTAAAGATAGTCTTGATTTAAGTTTGACATAAAGGAAGCCAAGTTGCAGTACGAGCTTTGATGGATGATGGCTTAAATCAATCATACATCAAACAGGATTTAATAAAGGAACTGAAACTTTCTCTTATGGGTACAGAAGTACCAATAGCAATATTGAATTATTGCTGATTTATTGCAATAAGCACACCAGCTTAGCTGAAGTACTGCCTTTTTACGGTGCTTGGCTTTACTTGAATCATGACAGTGTGAAGATCCGTGAGGACTGCGGTAAGGAGGTGGAGGAAAGAAGGGATAACTGCTCCTTACCATGACAGTATTTGCAGCAACAAGGTCATAGCAGGCAGTAAATCTTGAATCTGAATACAGAAGTGCTGTCACTTATTTGGTAATAGAACTATTCCTAGCTTCAAAAACAAAAGGTAAGATGTTACAGTAAAAAGTGCAGATGAAAGTTTTCCATGAAAATTCCCTTTTTGGATCAACCATACCTGCCAACCTCTAAAGATAAAATTTCAGAAGATTTCTCCCCCAAATTCAGAAGAGTTCTCCAAAATTCAGAAGAACACGAAGAATTAATATCATGCTTTGATATTAAAAAAATAACAATTTATACAAATAGAAAAAAGAAAATTGTACTTACATTAGTAAATCTCAATTAAGTAGTAACTAAAAATTTATTAGGAAACATAAAACAAGAACTTAATGTTACACAAAAAAATTATTGCAATGAATTTAGAGTGCATTTTTTAGCTTTAGCCAAAAATTCTTTGGAAAATTTCCTGTCATAACAATTAGTTTCCTCATAACATTTAGCAATTAAAATGTTTTCTAGAGTTTTTGGCAAAATTGAAGAACAAAACATAGTTTTGTTTTTCTTCACAACACTGAAGACTCTCTCACACTCAGCATTACTGTGTGGAATTACGAGAATAGCACATAAAACTCTTGCTAGTCTATCATATTTTAATGTTCCATCAGCTCTTTTTATTCTTTTTAAGGTACCAACGAGGACATCAAGTCTATCTTCTCCAGAACTGGCAAACTGTGCAGCAGAAAATTGGTTCTGTAGTTCATCTAAAGCATCATTATTGCATTCATTTTCTTTAATTGTTTACAAAAATGGAAATTTATCAATAAAAAAAAGAATCTTTTCAAAAGATGAATTTTTCAATTTGTTTCAAATTTGCCACTTCAGCATTTAAAAGAACTTCATTTTTGCAAAGGAAACTTCCTTACAATGTAATCACAGGCTGAGGAAAAAGTACTTTCTAACACATTGAAAAAAACTCTTTTTTCTGATGATCTTTCAAAGAATTTACAAGTTCCTTGGTTTGATTTCCAATTATAAGATCATTGTCATCCTTTTGATTTGCCAAACTATTATAGGCAACACGAATCAACACACTGTTTTTTACAACGGACAGTTTTACAAACTTAGTATAAAGATCTTTCAAAAGATCATTAAGAATTTGGATAAGCAAGGGAGATTTTGGCGAAGCTGATTGTAGAAGGGTATTTACACTTTCAAAAATCTTAATGGTCCTTAACACATAACTACAATATGCTTTGTTCAAATCCAAAGAAAGAAGATAGAAAATCCTTTCCTCCCGGCTAATAGAAGACTGTTTCTTCTTCCCTTCAACTTCTTTAACAATGTTGACCTTTGAGGAGACTTCCAAGCATTTTCTTTTTAAAGGGTTTGATTCTGTGTGTTGGCTTTTCCCTTTTAAAGCATTTTGATTAGAAGCAAAGTTGGTTTTCGGAATCTTATATGCCGACAAGTTTGATGGGATCTGTAGTTTCGTTTTGGTCTCTTCGTGGAAATATTTTAGCAATGCATCCCACTGTTCAATAAACCTTCTTAGCGCTCTGCCTAAGGATAACCATCTCGTGCATACATGTTTCAGAATTTTTCTCATTTCACCAGAGCACAGGTCTTGGAAATTCTTTAGGTTTTCTTTCCTTTTTACACTTTTTTCCAGATAGAAAAACACATCAATCAGAAGCTGGTCAATATTTAATGGTAAAGCAGCTGCAGCTTTTTCTGCTGCCAAATTAATTAAGTGGCATGGGCATCTAATAACAATTAATTCATTTTGTTCTTTTTTTGAGGAAAGAGGCTACACCCTTTTTGTCACCCACCATGACATGAGCATTATCTGCAACCAAATGAAATGCAGTTTTGATATTGGGATGTTAAGTTGTTTCAACTCATTAATTACCAAGGAGGCAATATTTTCCCCCGTAGCATCTCCATTTAACAATGGAAGATGCAAAAGATGAGTTTTCATTTCATTAGAAACATCACAGAAATATGTGACAACGATAGGGTAATGCTTCCAATCGCTGTCATTGCTGCCATCGATTGACACCGAAAATGCTGAATTCTGGAGTGCAGCTATCGTTTTACTTTGTGCATCGGAAGCAATTTCGTTCACAATAGAAGATGTTTTCGTGCGAGCACAAGCATATTTCTGGGCAATCTTAGAGTCGGGAAACATCTGTCTGAAAAGTTGACCGGCGTGATCGGCAGCTCTTAGCGGCACGTTGTGTTCGATGAGGAATGCAGTAAAGAAACACTCTGCCAAAATGACATCGGCTTCCGAATTTGTAAAAAAATCATCCACTTTCTTTGACATTGTCGAAGCCGAAGCATTAACTTCATGCTTTTTAGACTTAACATGCTTCACAATGTCGCTTCTTCCATCCGTGACTTATTATGAAGTCACACACGCACACGTTGCAAAATGCATAGTTATTTCCTTTAAACGATTCTTTAATTGTTGGAAATTCGGCTTTGTAGGCAGGCCGAAAATATGAGAATTACAGTTTTTTAAACTCATTTCGTAATGACGTATTAAGAAAATTCGTAGCAAACAGAATTCGACAAACAAAAAAAAAGTCCGAGCTCAGTAATTGCCTTGCTGGTGAAGCAATCCACGCTAAAAAAATAATCTGCCGCCCACAAAGAAAAGAGTGGGAGAAACAAGTTCAGCGCATTGGATTGGCTGGTTAAGCGGCGAGTTGGGAGAAACTGCAGGTTACTGGATTCGAAGTAGTCGGTAATTGGCGGTAAAACGCGATGCAATTGGCGAAAAATTCTAAAATTTTGACAAAAATCACTAAAAACACTTGAAAACGGAAAAAAATCGTAAGAAATGGATTACGATAGTAAAATTGTAAAAACAAACGCATTTTCGTAAAAATTACGAAAAATTTGTAAAAGTTGAAAGGTATGATCAACCCAAAATTTGCACCACATTACCTAGAATTCATACCAGTCTTCTGATTTCAGAACTCGTGAAAAAACACAGATGTTTGAGTTAATACACCACTAATACCAGTTCACATTGGCACTGATATTTTAGGGAATATTTTAACTGGCCAAATCCAGGGATTATTCTAGGTCTCAGAAAGAAAAGAAGAGTAGTTAACAGCATCACATTCTGCCTAAAAAATTGAAAGACATGGGAGTTGGAAACTTCGAGCCTTCATGATATGGAACAGAAAAGCAACATGGGGCTAGAATTTTAATACATTTCAAGGAAAGTGTTAACAGAGACATTCATCATCATGATCAATATACTTAGATATTGGGATATCCTCCTCTCCATGCTAACTATGACATAGCTGAAACAAAACTGCGATCTGTTACATAACAGTTAAGAAGAGAAGATATCTTTGACAAATATCATGAAATTTTTTTACAGTGGGAGAAAGAAGCCATAATAGAAGTAGTAGAACCATCTGGATGTACTGTTCATTATTTACCTCATACACTAGTAATCAAGTTATTAAGGACAACCACAAAGATCCACTCTGTGTTTGATGCCTCCGTAAAGTTGCTGGCTGTGCTTGCTTAAATGTTTCAGTATAAGGCATAGTCTTAAATAGCTGGCTCCTCAACTACTGAACAGATTCCGATTGCATACTGTAGGAGTACCAGCAGTTATCAAACAAGCTTTCCTACAGCTTACTGTACAACCAGGTGATCGAGATGTACTTCGATTTTTATGGTGGCTATTGTAAAATTAAAAGAATATATAACAACAACCCTTTTCTTGGAACTATTTTGCATCATTTCAATTTAGAAAATATCAAACAGAAGAAGAGTTAAAATTTACCACAGAGAAGCTAAAAGCAAGTTTTCAGGTTAACAACTTAGTTACAAGTAGATGATGAGCAGAAGTTGAACCTACAAATATAATGAAAAAGCAATATTTTAATTTATGTTTCTGGTTTCAAACAGGAATTCAAGATGGGAATCAAAATGTACTTGGCCTTAATTGGAATACTACCTCTGATGAACTGAGCTGTGCTTTCCCTTACTAGAGTGAAATTACAAGACTGAATTATGAAAAGAAATTTTCTTTCTGCAATCAACAGCATGTACAATCCCATAGTTTTACATGTCCAGCAGTATTGTTCCCAAAGCTATTCTTACAAGCCTGGGATGGGAAAACTTAGTTGGTTAAGTCACCTATCACTTGTTAAACATCTATTCCCCAGCAAATATTGTCAGGACGAAGTGAAGCTGCAACACTGCATAACTTTTCTGATGCATCTGCAAATACCTACGCTTGTTGTGCATTCTTGTGAGGAGGAAGCTGTAGTATTACTCTATTTAGTACTTGCAAAGTTTTGTTTAACCCTGAAGAGATCTACTGTACCAAGAATAGAACTTCTCCTAGAAGCAGTTGCGTACAGTTAGCAAAGTCAATTTTGAAAGATATAAATTTACCTTTAAAAACATATCTTTGGGCAGATTCTACGGTAGTATTGCCATGGATACTTAACAGGAAGAAATTCAAGAACTGACTGACGTCAGCTGCTGGAGACATCTAAAATTGTATTGACTGTCTCAAGTATTTAAGGACCTGAAAAATTTAGAAACCTGAAACTATTAAGCATGATTGTTTGGTTAATTAGATTTTGTGACTACCTAAGAAAAGATGAGCCAAATGTTTCTATACCTATAATCAGTGATGAAATAGAAAGGGACGAAACTTTACTTATCAAGCTGATTCAGAGGAAATAGTTAGTAGAAGAAATACAAAGATTCAATAACATTCTATGAATATGAAGGACAGTTACGGATGCAAACCTGGCTCATCTGGAGACGGCACTGATGATTTTAAGTGTCCTGTAGTTCTACCTCTTTATCCAATTACTCGATGTTTATTTGAATATATGCACAGGCCATCAAGTAATGTTGGACTAAAAACAATCGGTACTTTTCCATTTCGCCGGCGCAAATCTCGCCAAGCAGACTTTGTTGGCGACAACATACAGTATACACATAAAAAATGTTAACAAATGTTACTTTTAAGAATTTTTTATTTTGAAGGCACATAAACATTTTAATATGCTTTATATTTTTGTAAAAAGCCAATAAATAAAGACAATAAATTTGTAAAAAGACATTAATTTAAGAATTTACTATGCTATCATGGTTCAACATCCTGATTCGCCGGTTCGTATCACATGACCCCAGGTGATCTCATCTCACGTAAACTACGCTACAAAAATATAATTCTCTCAGTAATTATCTACATTAATTTCAAGTTAAATCTTAATTTGGAATACAAGTTTAAATGCAAGAATTATTTCAATTTGTACAAATAGCTTAGCCAGAAATTATGTAAAACTTCGCCTTCGAGCGAGCGGTGTAATTGCATTCTAATTGACTTAATTACCGCAAATGGTCATAGGGCATACAATTTAATTATCTTTGTAACTATTATGTCAGTATTGAAAGAAACAATCAATCTGGTAAGAAATGGCTGCGACTTGTTTTGAAAATGAGGCATGAAAAGGTTACCAGCAAAGATATTCTGTTTGGCATCAGTTGTACCATTATTGGTGACTTTATCGTTTATGCCAGCAAAACAGAAAAGTACCAAACAATCTTATCACAGCTGAAGGAAAGGTTTTGGACATCTTTGTGGGTGCAGCATGGTTGTATCTGGTGCGATTCCATGTAGAAGACATTGGACTGAAGCAAGTTACACAAGCATCCCCACTTCCACCTGAAAGACATTAAAAGCTCTTCAAACAATACACTGGAATACGATTTAAGATGGATTTATCACAGTTACCCCTTCAGGGTGTTAGCTGGAAGCTCAGGGCCCAGATTATGCCCTCAAAAGAAAGGAGGAGATTCATTACTCAGTCGTGATGATTCAAAACTGCATCCTTCAGTCAACATTATAGTGATATAATTACTTCAAGTCCTGAAATAATATGCACTCGATGTGGATGCCAAATAAAACAATCCAGAAGACTGAATTTATGTGTACTCTACCTTTATGAACCTTGACTAAAATGTCTGTTAGATTAGTTTTTAAGGAATACACCCATTTTGTCCTGTAATATCTAGATGTAAGACAAAATGTGAGAGGATGTTGCATATCAATATCCATTGTTATCAGTTTTAGAATTGGTTTTCTATATTGTATTTACCCATATTGATGAGATGTGTTTTAAAATAGAGAAAATGTTTTATGTGTAACTTGTAGTACTATCTAAACCTTCTAAGTTAATAAAGTGTCTTAGTGTGAAGTAAACTATTTAGTTCATGACTATAACATTCTTCTGTGTTACTTTTCTTGAGTTAAAATACACTCATGTCCATAAATTAAGGATAATTCAGAGTCACGCGGAAATCGAACTCTAAAATAAATATATCACCTGTAAAATCACTACACATCTTCAAGAATCACATGCAAATTTCAGGAAGTAACCAGATGACACTGATGGTACGTCACAATGACGAGAGTGTAAGAGAGTGATACATAAGGAATACAGGCAAAGAAGTAAAATTGTTTGCAGGCGCTTTATAAGCATTTCAGTGCAATAACCAAATAGTTATGACACAAAGGACGGATTTGGATGATTTTTTACGTGGTAGAATTATCGGCCGTCTGGAATGTGGGCGTACCCAACTGGAAGTATCAGACGAACTTGGAATTGCCCAGAGTGTTATCTCCAGGCTTTGGCAATGATTCCAAGATGATGGTAATGTGAGTAAACATTACAGCACAGGTCGCTCCAGAATTACAATGCTGAATGAGGACTGCTATTTGGCAGTTACTGCCAAAAGAAACAGGCGGAGCACAGCCTCAGACCTGTCTCGTCAGCTCTCTTCAGCCACTGGTACGACAATTTCAAGGCAGACCGTGTACAGACGCTTAGGGCAGATTGGTCTATACGCTCGTAGACCTGTCAGATGCGTTCCACCTACTGCAACTCACTGTCGCCTGCGGTTAGCCTAGAGTAGAGAGCATGCATTGTGGACACCGCAACAGTGGGCTTGTGTGATGTTTTCCGACGAGTCCAGGTTTAGCTTGCAGTCTGATTCTCACCGGACTTTCATATGGAGAGTTCCAGGTACCTGTTACCACCAAGAAAACATCATTGAACGACACCGTTACGGTGGTGCAGGAGTGCTCGTTTGGGGTGGAATTATTCTGGGTTCTAAAACTGACCTGCATTTTTAAATTGGAACCATGACAAGCCAAATCTATCGGGACGTCATTTTGGAACAACATGTATGTTTGTTTTGGGGCGCCATGGGCACACAATTTGTGTTTATGGATGATAACACTCGTCCTCACCGTGCAAACATCGTAAGCAAATGCCTTCAATCGGAAGATATCACTCGTATGGATTGGCCAGCATTCTCACCGGACTTGAATCCAGTAGAGCACGTGTGGGACATGCTTGGCCGACGAGTTGCAATCCGTCAACCTCCTCCTACATGCCTACCGGCACTTAGGGGAGCATTGCTTTTTGAGTGGTGTAATATTCCCAAGATCAGATCGATAATTTGATACTCAGCACGCCTAGTCGTTGTACAGACTGTATTGAATCGTCTGTGAGACGTACAATGTATTAACAATCATACCAACCATGTAATATTGGTTGGTTGATCTTTACAATATGGTAACTGGTAGTTTGGCGACATTTTGGAGGCGATAAAGGTTACTACCTGGCACTTTGGTAATAATGTGAGCAGTACTCAGTTCCGATTACGCATTATTTTGTGTGAGGGAAATGAGAGATCATGGGATATGTCATGTGATATTAATGGACGAATTACGGTTCTTTAATCGGAAAAAGGGGGGAAATCGGGAAAAAATCTGGAAATTTTGTATTTGGCTTTATTCTGTGTTGTGTGAAACAGTGTTCATGAATTTTTGGATCCCATGGCCGTAACTAAAGTGAATTCGAAATGGGTATTTATGTATGTATTAATTTAATGTATGTGCTCATTTATATTTTAAGTAGTGTTTTTGAATTTAATTATATTTTAATTAAATGATAGTTATTTTGTGAATTTTATGTTTGTAGGAATTTGGTATACGTTTTAGTTGAAGTAAACGTGCATGGAAATAATTTAAATATCTGACACTAAGTATTTGTAATGGTTGCGGTATGAATTCGTTGGTGACGTGTATAATGTAATAGATGATTTAGAGGTAAAAGTTTTTGGATATTTTTTTTATTTTATATGTGGAAATGTTCATATTTGAAAAGGGTAAATACTTTTTCGCGATCAGGTAATTTTATATATGTTCTTTTTACCGGGTTTAAAGATTGAGAAAATTGTCATGTATTTTCGTGAAATTTTTCTAATTTATGAGAAAAAAGCAGTGTACATGGATATAGTGAAGAGTGTGCGCAATGCCATTTTTGTGCAATTCTGGGATGTTTTTTTAAGTAAAAATAAGTCGCCGTGTACATGGTTTATGTGTATGTGTTATTTTGAAAAACGCGTAAGGAGTATGGTATTGTGCACTTTTTCCCAATTTTGCAGTGAATATTTGTCATGATTAAGAAGTTTTGTTAGATAAAATTTCTAGCATAAGTGTAATTCGGCTAGTAGATTGTTGGAAGAAGTGTTCAGTAGATAAAAAGAAAAGAAACATGTCTTTACTTCGTGAAGACAAAATGGCGGCGGGAAAAAAAAATAGAGGGTTGCTGTAGGAGAGTTGGTCGCAAAATTTTCGACAAAAAAACGCCAAGTTACCATAATGTAAAGATCAACCTATTGGTTTTTTGTAAATAGGTTTGTTTTTGTAATTTGCTCCAGGGAGAAAAAAATCGCTAATTTTTTTAATAATATCAAACGTATAGCATCTTTTTCTGCTTTTTACCTTTTGTTTAATAAATAAGCTTTACAAATAAGTCAAATTTGTTTTGCTTCTAACTCTTCCTTTGCCTGACTTTGCATTATCCTTAATTTATGGACATGAGTGTAGATAGGTTAGTATGTTGATTAAATCTTATTGGTATGTTAATGTTGAATTGATGTAATAAGTATATTTAAATATATGTAAATGCTTTTGTAAAATTTTATTAAGAAATGTTGCAATGTGACAGTTATTATATAATTTTCTATTTAAACCTACTTTATCTCTGTATACATACAAACAAACTTCTGTAAAGAAACTTCCCATAAAAACTTTTCATTATTTTGCAGTTTTTACATATTTTTGTTTCTTTCACAATAAAGATTAAATATTTGAACATTAAAATTTGTTTGCTGGTAGTGAAACATTTTTGAGCACATAATCTCTGGGTATACTTCTGTATGAAATAAAGCCCCATGCTGATGAAGAGGTTTCGTTAACAAAGCATCAGTGGCTGAATGACTGTCAGAAAAAAATTCAGTTTTCTTGTAACAACTACAAACTTCTTAAACTTGTGCAAGCATATTCAATTTAGATGAGTGGAACAGCAGTATTATATTTACTTTAGTATATGTTAAAAATATACTGTAATAAAATCCTGGTTTTCAGTTGAAGCAGTAAGACTTCACATAAACAGTTACCAACAAAAACAAACTTACTCGCTTTTAATTACTACTGAAGCTGTAATAATTTTATTACAATACTGAGATACAAAATGTAGTACAACACTAAAACTATAATTAACCTACTGTGATGATTTTTAATCATTACTGGTAATAAAATTTAAAGTATTAAATTACTTTACTTTCTGACACGATTAGTGCATTAAATTGTCCATAACACTGAATTGGACTAGATTACATGATTTTGGGTAAGCACGCCAAAGCTATCTGCTTCAAGACATGTCTTTGAGGACAACTTCCTAAATGAAACTGGCCATCACTTGCATTACAATGGTAAAAAACATGAAAGCTTAATGCAGACAACCAATTCAATCATTAGGAACAGAAACCAAGGCAAACTACCAGTATTTCACAGCTTCAACCCCTAGTGGGCTCACCATTATTGATGTTTTCTTTAATTTTCCTTTTATATTAAAGGTACTAAGCTTATGGAATGGCAATTACCATCGGTGTTCTCTCACAACTTGGTCCAAGCACACCCTGATACAGCGGCCTATGACACTGATTTTCCAAGGGTGTCATAATCTTAAATTCTTCTCACAAGCGACAAATGATCTGATCGACTATGGTATAGAAAATGATCGAATCGGGCCTGGTTTACATCAATTTCACATAAACACAAGCGTACATTAATTTTTATAAGCTTCTATACCCATAACGGCTTGCAGCGAAGCTTAGAGTGGCTACTATATGCCGCACTGCTTTCCATGAAAGACTTTCTAGGAGCAAAATATCTCCTTTCCCATTATACACATCAGTATAAGAGGAAATAATTTTTAACTAAACATAAATAACAGAATAGTGTATCCAGCGCACTTCGCCAGGAATCAAATTTGTTAACCAGGAAAACACTCATTCAAAAAAACGCAGCTAAATTGAAATACAATCCTAATACATTTTTTTATAACAGAAATAATACATTAAAAATACAAACGGAAAATTAGGAGTAAATAACTAAGTTTTTAAAAATAATTCAACATGAACTGTAATCATAAAAGGAATTCAGTTACACAAATTGATCAGTGTTATTTTTAATTACTGAATTAAATAGAACTCACAGTTTATCAATAGTAATATTGTAATTTCAATTTATTAAAATTTATGATTAAAATGAGAAACTTACAAATTTTTCACTGTATTTACTTATGAGAAGAATAACAAACTCATCACCACGACCCCACAGTAAAAGTACAAAATTCGTTGTTCGCAGAAAGATCTTCACGAAGGGAAAAGGTGAAGAACAGTGGGGAAGAAATAGGAAGAGTTACGATATTTTCTGTGTTGTGGGGAGTATTTTTACTTCCTCCACAGAAAACGCAACTCGCGACTAAATTTGGCGATTTATCAGGTCTTGGCGAAATTGTGTGGCTAGCGCATGCGCAGACATGGACGAACGATCGTGATGATATGTCTTATTTACTAGCGATCGCCGATATTTCGTAATGGCGGCTTATCTGTAATTGTGCATCTGTCACACATAATTACTGAAGCAGCAAACTTCATATGGTATTAGTGGGGGTATTAAATACAGAAAAATGGCGGTTCATTTTCCAACAGGGTGTACTTATGGTGCTTTTTTTTATGGCTTGACTATTTACTTTTTTATGGCTATGGTGTTACTAGCACTGCATATGGTTAGCGTGGTCGCATTATAATAAAGATATATATTAAGTATATACGGGAAAAAAATCTCCTTCAGCTGAGCATGAGCTTATATGATATGATAGCAATGTATGTAGAAGTGCTTTTTTTTCGGCTTATGGAATGCTCATGTCTCAGCACCTGTGTTATCTCTCACCACCATCTTTCCTGAACATTTTTGGGATTTAGTAAACCAGGATATTTAATAATGATTATATTTGGTTGAAAATGAACAATAAAATAATAATAATTTTTTCCTAATTTAATAATGACTATTCTTAGTTTACCCTATATAGTTCAGTATTAATAACTCTGTAACTATAACGTATATATTTACCTATTAAATAATTCTGTTAAGATAGAGGGTCTGAGATCACCGAGGCAAGCGGCAGCACGATCGGTGCGCTCCGTAAAAAAGTGCAAAAGTTTCCTTTCCTCTTGGTGATTATCAATTAAATTTCTTGAAAAATGGTTTTTTTTTTTTCACCTACAACGCCTATATCATTCCAATGAATTTCGACTCCGATGTTGACGAGAATAAAACAGCGGACAATGTAAGGATATACTCCAAAAGCCTGGAATTTTAAGATAAGTACTTTTCTTTCATCTAAACTAAATCAAATTTCTATAAATAAGTGCCTTTAAATCAATAAATCTTAATTTTTTTCATCAGTTTAAAGGCATTAAAAAATACTTGAAATTGCCATTGCTTGTGGCTTCCTTTGTGTATCAACTCCAAACAGACGCCAACGTTATCAGTTCACGTCTGTCAACACTTACAAAGCCCTTAAGGAATCTCGAGAGAGGGAAAATTTGGGGGATGAGAGGGGATAATTTGGGCATCGCGCTATTTCCCTCTCGGATCTTCTGGATTCTCTTTTCTTTTTAGATCGCTTGAATATAGTTTCGCCTTTAAATAATATTATACCTCACCGATTTTTTCTCATACTGTTCTTTGCTATCTGTTAAATGTCCATATGTAAGGGATGGTTTATTCTTCACCGCCTTAAATGAATTCTTAGAACTATGAGCTTATATAAATAACAGTGTGCCTCATTGTGTTATACTAACATTAATTAACTAGTAATAAATTATGATAGTAAAATAATTATTAATCTTGTAATAAATTATGATAGTTAAATTAATAAATACTGTTTAATTTGTGTTTTTAATACATATACTCAGTAATTTACACACACACACACACACATATATATATATATATATATTTTTTTTTTTTTTTTTTTTTTTTTTTTTTTTTTTTTTTTTTTTTTTGGTGTGTATGCGGTTGTGGTCTTGTATTGTATATGGTTCTATGTTGTTAGTATGCTGCTGTTTTTTGAAAAATGTATGAAAATGTTGAGAATGAAAGTAGCATAAGTTACTTTGGTTAAATTAATATATACTTTTGTTTGATGACCTTTGTTGATATCTCAGGATGCAAGCGTACATATTACTTTATATTCCATGCTAAATACCTTGATACGAAGCATTTTAACACCGTCAATATTTGTTTTTTTCCCCAGTAACACATCTATTCACCATTACCAAACACACTCACTACACAACACACACCTGTGAGACACTATTTATTGTAAATGAAGACAGTTTCTTCTCCTTTTAACTACACTCATGGACACAATCGTATTTTAGGATATTTTCTACTTCTTTTCCTTTTCTTTCTATAGGCCCTTTTTTTTTCCCTCTATTATTTTTGGGCCATTTATTTTAAATTTTATTTTGTCCCATCTTTTCTTCCTGGCCTTTTGAACTCGTACAAGATGTACGAAGTTCCTTTTTACTCTCCTCAAATACGAAATTGCCCCTCTTTCTATATACCTTTCCTTCGCACCTATGCTTGATTTTTCGCCCATCGGTGCAGAAAGACTTAGCGGGTGCAAAACAAGACATCTGTCTACTTTGTCTGTCTGTCTTAAGATGTATGTTTCTATGAAATCTGTGATTATAAAAGGAAATTATCATTTACAGTTTTATTTACCATTTATCTCCTTTGCTCGTTTCAGTTGTAAATTAAACCTTCTAATGAGAATATTTTCTTTATATATATACGTGCTCCGAAAGTGTTCGTACACTATGATTTTTATTGAAATAGGGCTCTACCCATTAATTAAAAGAAAACTTTCTGAATGAGATTTTAATAATAATCTATAATCTATTCGTAATAAAATTACATGAAATATTTTTTAATATAGCGAAACTTTATTTTTAAGAAATTAATAATCAAAAAATGACAAACATTTTTCTCACACAAAGTCTTCGTACACTGAAATATTTTTAGATAAAATCAAAATTAGAATTATCGTTCGCCACTTTTTTTAAATTTTTGCATTGTGGTGGCATTTAAAAAATCATTTGCTTTAATTTTTTATTGTTTACTTCATAATATTCTATTTATTATTGAAAAATGGGTCGCAGTCGTAAAGAAATAACAAAAAGCATTTGAAAATTGATAATTTTTCATAGTAATGGTAAATCAATTCGAAATATCGCTAAATTAGTTAATTTATAAGAAAATGTCGACCGAGAAAATTAACTAAACGTGATGAGAGATTTATTATTAGAAAATTTGTAAAAAACCCACGTTTGAGTGCTGTAAAAAGTTTCTGCAGAATTTAATGCAAAGTTTGCTACTTCAATTTCACCTGAAACTGTTCGACGAGTTCTCAGAGAAGCTGGATTACATGGACGTTCTGTCCATAAAAAGTTTTTTGCTAGTAAGAAAAACAGGAAGCTTAGGCTTTCATTCGAAAAATCAATGATAAATACACCCGAAACGTACTGGAATAATGCCCTATTTGCTGACGAAAGGAAATTTAGTATTTTTGGTTCTGATGGTCGAATAACTGTATGGAGAAGAAAAAATGAGGAACTTCATTCTAATAACTTAATTGGAACATTTAAGCATGGTGGTGGAGGTGTTCTTGTGTGGGGGTGCATGGCAGCATCAGGACTATCTAATTTGGTATTTCTTGATGGCATAATGAATCATTCTCTTTATTTAAATATTTTAAGAGACAATTTAAATTATCAGCCCAAAATTTGGGTATTCGAAACAACTTTATTTTTAATCATGGACTAAGCGATCATAAGGCTCGCAACGTTCGCCTGTTGGTGGTACTCTATAATTGTCCATGGGTTTTGAAACACACCAACTCAGTTCCCAGATTTAAAAAAACCCCATAGAACAAATTTGGAAAGAAACTGGAGGTAGCGTTTCAAAACAGTCATGATGGAAGAATAAATGAACATTGATACAGAAGTTACAAAAAAACTAGTAAAATCTATTCCCAGACGTTTAAAAGCTGTTGTGGATGCTAAAGGATATCCTACTAAATATTAATTTAATGAAAAATGAAAATATTTACTATTATGTCAAGATTTTTTTGAAGTGTACGAAGATTTTTGTGAAATAATATGTTTGTCATTTTTTGAATATTAATTACTTAAAAATAAAGTTTCGCTATATTTTTAAAATGTTTCATGTAATTTTGTTACGAATAGATTATAGATCTTATTATTAAAATCTCATTCAGAAAGTTTACTTTTAATTAATTGATAGAGCCCTATTTCAATGAAAATCATAAGTGTACAAACACATTTGGGAGCCACTGTGTATATATATATGGGGACATATCACGAGTGGCATTCATATTTATATTTAAAATATGTATTTCACGGAAATACATATATTTTCATAAAATATATTTTCACGGAAAATTCAATCTGAGAAATATTTTATCATGTAAGTAATGTTAATCAGAATTAACATAGTTAGGTAATATATTTTGAAAGATCATGTTAAGTAATTACAGTCAAAAGTCGTTAATTCGGACACCCATAATCCAGAATGATCTATAATCCGGACCTCAAAGCTACAAACTTTCTGCGCATGCGTCGCGTTGACGCGTGTGCGTAAGACCTTTACGGCTGTGAATATGCGTGTGCGCATGCGCATAATACGTTTACGCATGCGCGTTTAATGTATAACGGAAGGTATAAGCTAAGCTAAAATTATCTAATTCAGTTAATGTTGCAGATTGCGTTGTTCCTTAATCTTCGAATTGGATCCGGCTTATTATTTTTTGCGGACTGTTAGAGCAATTTTATAAAAGTAAGCTTAAACTTTCGATTATGTCAAATAGATTTTCCGATATGTATTTACTAATATGTAAAGGATCTACAAACCGAAAGTATGTTTCAAAATCCGAAATCGATTTATCAATTTTACGCTGCTCTGCGGCGGGGGGGGGGGACGCCGCGGCGCACAATGAATTGGAAGTTGATCTGTCAGCACTACCCTTATCTTAAGGGCAGAAGTTTTTATTTTATTTGGCTTATAATTCCTTACTAAATGTAGTATTTCATCTCGATGTACCTAGTCTTTGATGTGATTTAAATCAAGTTCCTCGTCATTATAATTCGCTTCCGATAGTGAAGAAAGTGACACAGAGGTTATTGAAAACGAAAAAATTTCGATTGACAAATTAGTCGGTATTCTCGACACAGCAATTATAGGACTTGAACAGCGGAACTTTGTAACTAAACAAAAAATTAGGTCTGTTTAATAGAATTAAAGAGAAAGTATTAACACATGAAACGAAGC